GTGAGACACAGTTGAGTAGAATGGTGTGGTTGCCACCTCAATATTGTAGGCTGGCAGAAAGCACGAGCACTTATACACAGTTAAACATTTGGGATATAGTACACAAAGGGTATGGGTATTTAATAGTGGTGCACCAAAATGAAAATTTTGGTGCCAAAACCGAAAATTCAAAATGCACTTGGCCGAAAATTGAAACCAAAATGCTCAATTTTTTAAAGATGAATATATTTTTGGAAAAAAAAATACACTGAATAAAAAAAAAAAAAAAACAATATATACCCCAATTTATTTGTAAAATATGAAAGAGGATGTTACGGCGAGTGAATAGATACCCAACATGTCATGCTTTAAAATTGTGCACGCTCGTGGAATGGCGTGAATCTGCAGTACTTAAAAATCTCCATGGGTGATGCTTTAAAAATTTCTACAGGTTATCAGTTTAAAGTTACAGAGGGTTGGTGTGCTAGAATTATTGCTCTTGCTCTGACGTTTGTGGCGATACCTCACGTGTGTGGTATGAACACAGTTTACATATGTGGGCATGGCCTACATATGTGTTCACCACTACGTGCGCGCACAGGGGGACGGGGGCACTTTAAACCTTTTTTTTTTCATTTATTTAGTTTTTTTTGCACTGTAATCACTTTTATTCTTATCACAAGAAATGTATGCATCCCTTGTGATAGAAATAATTAGTGACAGGTCCTCTTTAGGGAGAAAAATGGGCTCAGTAAGACCCCACATCTCTCCTCTACAATGTAAAGCATTGGATCAAAAAAAAAAAAAAAAAGCATTGATCTAGTGCTTTAAAAAAAAAAAATGGCCGGAACGAGAAGTGACATTGCTCCGGTCCTCCAAGGGCATAGCGATGAGTGGCAGCCATCTTTCCTTCACTCACTGCTGGGATCGATGATTTGTTAGGTAAGGCTGAAAACTACCAAGCAGCGGCGGGGGGCCAGCGGCAAGGGGCCAGCGGCAAGGGGCGGTGGTGATGGCGGGCGGGCAGCGGCGAGGTTTTTCGGCACCTGTATCGGTGCTTTTTTTCATTTCGGCCAACGGCCAAAATAGGCGTTTTCGGCCAAAATGTTTCGGCCACCGAAATTTCCCTGCATCCCTAGTATTTAACTCCATGTTGATGCCGGTGGTAGTTAAAGATTTCTTTCCACCTGGGAATGAAAACATTTCGGGTAATTGGATAAGAAAGGGAGATGCACAGTTAAAAGACATAATGAATGGGGAAGAGATCTGTTCCTATCAGGAGCTGAAAAAAAAAGAAAGCTGTTTACTAGATTAGATGAGTGACGATATTTTCAGCTAAAACATTTTGTTGCAAAGCTCCCTAAACCTTCAAGGACAAAAATGATATGAATCCATTTGAACAATTGCTAAGCACACGTAGAGACGGGAAGCATGGGACTTCCAAAATCTATAAAATTTTTACAAGAATGACAGAAGTTACTGCCCCTTTGTATATGGAGAAATGGGCAAGGGGAACTGGGAATATCACTGGATGAGGAACAAAAAAAGAAAATTTTTAGATTAGCACATGGGACTGTTGACATGAAAGTAGTGGAAATGAATTATAAATATCTAGCTAGGTGGTATATTACACCAAATGTGGCACATATGCAATGTGGGGATAAATCACCTATCTGTTGGCAGGGTTGTGGGAAGAAGGGCACAATGACACACATTTGGTGGGACTGTCCTAAAATTCAGGAATATTGGGGGGGAGTAATTAGCCAAATTCAGGAGATTATTGGGATTAGAATTCCGAAAGACCCAGGGATATAAGATAAAATATAAAAACTCGGTATTGTTCTATCTTATGAATGCAGCAAAAGGACTGATACCCACATTTTGGAAGGAACAAGAGCCACCAAAAATAAAAGATTAGATAGGAAGAGTGGATTATACGTATAGAATGGAGGAACTTTACCATATGGAAGAAGATAAAATGGAGAGATTCCGAGAAAGGTGGGAAAAATGGGATGAATTTAAGAGATCAAATAAATATGCTGAAATGAGAGAAATAGAGGAAAAGGTAATTAGAGGACCCCTTAATTAAAAATTAAAAGTAGATAGTAAGATAGGTTGAGGAAGAAGGGAATCCTAGGGTTACCTAGGAAGGTTGAGGAACAAGAAGCTAAGGGAAAAGAAAGGGGGGTGGGCGTGTGAGGGCTGGTGGGTGTTGGTTTAAAGAGGGAGATTGTAATTTTTTCTCTATGTTTTGTATTGAATAGTAATGATATGATAATTTATTCTTTATTATGTAATATGTTGAAAATTTAAAATGTAAATATATATATATATATATATAATATATATATAAATATATATATATATATATAAAAAAAGGAATGACACAGTCTATCCTGAGGGAACACAGATTAGGAAGAGAGAAAAGAAAAGCAGAAGAGATGACAGGACAAACTGCTGCCAGTGAGACACAAAAGAGTTAAACTCACAAAGATAGTGTCTGATCTCATCACCCTGATATTCTCCCTCATCGGCAGCCTGTGAAATTCAGCACAGAAAATCTTCTGTCAGGTTTCCTAGTTGAGCCAAGACATTCGATCAAGGCTGGAAATGTACATATTTTAAATGACGAAAGTGACACACAGTTTTTGAGACCAAGGAGGGGTGGGGGGCAGTATCCAATAAAGAAGTAACTTCTCTGGGCTTCAACAAAATGGCAGCCTCCAGCAAGAAGAAACAGGAGAAATGCTGGAGGTAATTTACAGCACACACACTGGTAGCACAATCATTAATGTGGAATTTACATTAATTTGTTAAAGAACATTAATTTTCAAACTGTTATGGGCAAAGTCCTGCTTTAAACAAGGTTGGAGTTTCATAATTATATTATATTTACGGTTTTATGTAAGTAAACATATGACTATAGATGTACCAAAAACATTTTGCGTACCTTTAAAGTTCGAGTTGGGGCCCAGCCCGTTCCATCTATGGAGTGCTCTCTCAACAGACTGCATTTAAAATAAAACAAGATGACATTTGTCAGTAGTTCTTAATAGTTCTTCAGTATTGCAGTATTAAACCCAAGAGCAACCAATTATATTGCCACTTACCAATTCATAGATGTAATGGCTGCATTTGTTTTCTTTTTTTTTTTTAAGGTTTTATATCTTTTTTCACCTGGTCATCTGGCCAGTAAGTCTGTTGTTTTTCAACATAACAAGCTCCCCTACAAATGTATACATTAAGAGTGCTGAGACAAACCATTGACAGGGAAGCTTACAATGGTCAGCTTTTATTTATTCATGTAAAAGCTTTATCCCAAAAGAACAAAAAAATGTTGTATGCTTGTATAACTGCAATGTGATCTGGAATTTGGATTGAACTTGTTAGTGTATCTAATTCTGCTAGTACATCTAACACTCCTCTCCTAACAGATTGACGCTGCTGTCTGCTGAGCTCCAGTGGTCCTTCATTTAGGGTGATGGCACTCTAATACAGGTGGTGTGTTTACTGGCCAAAGCTTCAAGTGAAAACAGGGGGGAAAAGCCTAAAAAATTAAAAAACTAATGTAGATACCATATTTAATTATTTGTAAGCTGCAACATATTACATTTTTGGTTTGGGGTTTAAAACAAAATTAAAGGTTTGCTTTTGTTTTCATTTAAAATAATAAACATGCCATACTTACCTGCTCTGTGCAATGGTCTTGCACAGAGCAGACCAATCCTGTTCTTCTGGGGTCCCCTGCAGATGCTCCTGGCTCCTCCTCTTCTCCGGGTGCTCCCATAGGAAGCCACTTCACATGGGGGCACTTGTACGAGCTCACTCCTGAGCTGCCTTGTCTGTGTCCATTGACACAGACTGGGTGGCTCGGCCCCTCCCCTGGTCACAGAATTTGATTGACAGCAGCGGGAGCCATTGCCTACCAATCTGTTCAGTGGGGCGGGACAGAGCTGGAAGAGCAGCTGCTTTCAAGCACATCGGTGGATTGGGCTTAAATATAAGGGTGGTGAGGGGGTACAAATGCAACACATAAGTTTTTTTTTTACCTTAATGCATAGAATACATTAAGGTAAAAACCTTAAGGCTTTAAAACAACTTTAATACTGCTTTATTTAATACATTAACTTAGCATATTTATCAAAGAACTGTGGATGAGCAATATAGGCATTTTAGGCAATAAAATAAAGGATGCAATTTAATAATACAATCAAATGTACATAAACATAATCTCTCATATAAGCTTTAACATGGTAATGAAACTAAAATGTTATGTTATTTTTAAGATTTTTAAAATATGAGGCTTTCATTTAAAAATAGTACACCTGGTAATACTGCCATGAGCAGTGTTGTTCAGGTGCTTTCTGTTATATGGCAACAAGGCAACTGTGTTCCTCCGTTGTGACCCTGTCAAACACTTAATTTGGTTTTTTATTCAAACTATGTGTTTTTCTCACACACACACAAAATTAAAAAGCAAAACAAGCGAATGACTCAGCAGGACAAAGACAAACTGTACATGAAGAAGTTTTTGTATAATTCAAGTGGTGCTGGTGACAATTAAATCAGTTTCCTCAAGACTCTTCACGAAATGTGGTGAGGTTAATGGTTACAAGTGAGCTAATCAAGAAATGCAAAGAACATGACAAATGTGTAATGTATACATTGTATTAAAAGAGTACACTGATACATAAGACAGCAAATTAGCATTACAATAAGTATAGTATCCTCTATGAACATACAGCTGAACACATAACCCAAAAGCTAAACCACCCCCATGATCTCGAAATACTTCCTACACACAAAAAGAAAGAAAGGCGTACAGGACTTTAAGCACCTCCCGCCCGCCCTATAGTACAATGACGGGCGCAAGGTGGTTCTCTCGTTCTGATAGGACGTCATATGACGTCCTACCATTCTCACTGCGCATGCGCGGCTCAGGGAGCGCGCAGCGCGGCGATCGCCGGTCTGCTGTGTCCCTCGGACACAGCGGATCACGGAAAGAGACAAAGATGTCGGCTCGGTCATGTGATCAGCTGTGTCCAATCACAACTGATCACATGTAAACACCGAAATGCCGGTTATCGGCATTTCTCTCCTCTCGAGCCGGTAACCGTCTTTCCGCAGAGGGGACATGTACACTGATCATCAGGGCACTGGTGATCAGTGTGCCCTGATGATCAGTGTGGCCCCAGAAGTGCCACCTGTCAGTGCTCATCAGTGCCATGTGCCAGTGCCCATCAGTGCCACGTGCCAGTGCCCAATCAGTGCCACATATCAGCGCATACCAGTGCACATCAATGCCACATATCAGTGCCCATCTGAGCTGCCTTTCAATGTCGCCAATCAGTGCCACCTATCAGTGCCAGTCAGTGCCGCCTAACAGTGCCAGTCAGTGCTGCCTAACAGTGTCAGTCAGTGCTGCCTATCAGTGCTGCCTATCAGTGCCAGTCAGTGCCGCCTATCAGTGCTGCCTATCAGTGCCGCCTAATCAGTGTCATCTATCAGTGCTGCCTTTCAGTGCCCATCAGTGATGCCTGTCAATGCCCATCAGTGCAACCTACCAGTGCCTTCTTATCAGTGCCACCTATCAGTGTCCATCAGTGCAGCCTATCAGTGCCCATCACTGCAGCCTCATTAGCGCACATCAGAAGGAGAAAAATCACTTATTTATAAAATTGTATAACAAAAACTAAGAAAAAAGTTTTTTTTTCAAAAATTTTCAGTGGTTTTTGGTTTGTTTAAGAAAAAATAAAAATCCCAGAGGTGATTAAATACCACCAAAAGAAAGCTTTATCTGTCTCAAAAAAATGATAAAAATTTCATATGGGTACAATGTTGCATGACCGTGCAATTGTCATTCAAAGTGTGACAGCGCTGAAAGCTGGAAATTGGCCTGGGCAGGAAGGGGGTATAAGTGCCCTGTAGGCTAGTGGTTAAAGGTGCTCGTATACCCTCAGGATGAACAACTTGGACACACTAAATGTATAAAAAATATGACATTTTATTACACATAATAAAATGGAATGTTCACACCCTTCCATAAAATCAGGTAAGAAAATTAACCCTTCAGTACAGTGAATCCCATGTCACACTTTCCCTTTTCTAACAGTACCGAACCATGAGCAAAAGGTCACCAGTGTAACAAGCATCAATATTGGAAGGTGATATGATGTTAAATCCCAATGCGTTTGGCCGAGTTGGCTTCTTCAGGGGTTCAGAGGAAGGGAAAACACCATTTTGTTTCCAACTGGAGAAGGTGACTATCAATACTCCCCCCTCTCGTGGAGTGTGGTACATGTTCCAGAGGAAAAAAACTTAATTGCATCCAAATTGAAGTTGTGATAAAGGCCTACATGTCTACTTATCAATGTAACCATTTTTAATTAGGTACACATGGTCTTTAGTTCTTTTCCAAAATGGCCTCCTTGTTTTGCCCACATAAAATGATTCACAACAGCATTTCATAAAGTAAACCACACTTACCGTCTGACAATTAATTGCATATCGTGGAATTCAAGTTTTACCATTTGGTAAGGTCACACTCCTTCCTGCATGAATCCAATTACAGAATTCACAGTGTCCACATGGGAACATGCCTCTACGTCTAATAACTGGGGCTACCTTACTTTGTAAATGACTGTGCGTCAGATAATCTTTTAATGATCTGGCCTTCCTAAAAGGTTAAAGGTGATACTGATCCTTTGGAGAAAGGTTTATGTAGGAAAAGACAGAGAGCTATATTGCCTACCTGAATTTGGCTTTTCGTCTCCACATGGAGGGTGGATTAATGTTTTGGAATCGCTAGGGTTCCAGTTATTGCAGGCATTTGACATCCATCTACCTATATACTATCTTGTCAAGTCTTTGTAGGCCATTTGTTTCTATGATTTGGAGGATAGCCATGAACTAGGAATCTAATTTTACTCAGGCAGTATGGTGTGCGGGCTCCTGTGTGTGCCGTCACCCGGGAGGTCCCAGCAATATCTGGTGCCAATGTACCCGTCTCTTTCTCAGGTTGATCATTGGTCTGAGCAACAGTCAGTATGGTGTTTTCCCTTCCTCTGAACCCCTGAAGAAGCCAACTAGGCAAAACACATTGGGATTTGCAATCATATCACCTTCCCATATTGATGCTTGTTACACTGGTGACCTTTCAGTCCTTTCAGTCATGGTTCGGTACTGTTAGAAAAGGGAATGTGTGATATTGGATTCACTGTACTGAAGGGTTAATTTTTTGCCTGATTTTATGGGAGGATGTGTATGTTCCATTTTATTATGTGTAATAAAATGTAATATTTTTATACATTTAGTGTGACAAAGTTTTTCATCCTGAGGGTATACGACCACTTATAAAGTCCTTCACGCCTTTGTTTCTTTTTTGTATATGTTTATACTTGGACCTGATCTGACATACCAATTGTGAATACTCCAAATACTTCCTATTAAATCAGAAAACTAAAATAGTAATTTAAAAGTGATCTAAATGGTCTCCAAACCCCAAAAGGGGAAATCTTGGCAAGAGGAAAAGCTTGAAATTTGTTGAAAATAGGTCTATTCAGAAATAGCAGCTATGCCTGGGCACTTGGAGAAGCTAGTAGGAAAGCTCCAATCTCCTTTCCTGTAAGTTTTCTTGGCCAATGTAAAAAAAACTACAATTCCCACCATGCAATTGGAAATAAACCTAAATAAGGGAGCCATGGGAGGGACAGATGAGGAGTCTTCTGGCTTGTCCAAACGATGCCTAGTTAGTGGGTATGTTAGACATCTAACTACAGCAAGTGGTAGCATAGTTAAGTCATTGCTCGCTTACAAATGATTTGCACTGGGAATGTTACAGTACCGTTGCCCGTGAAAGAGCAGGCATAAAGGCCACTCGATTTATAGAATGTCTAAAGAGGGGACTGATCCTTTGTTATGCTGCATTTAATTAAGGATTAATTAAATGGCTGGATGACTGCATTGAACAGCATGAATATATTGAGTAAAGCTGGCCATAAATTGGAAAGATTTCAAATCAAAACATTTTTAAAATTTTCCAATGGTTAGTGAGGTCAAATCGACATCCTGAATAAACAAATTTCTAATAGTGATAGTGGTTTTCCTTCTGGAAATTTCATTAATTCCAAAACTGAATGTCAATAGCAAATGAAAATGTACTTTTGAACAACATTTGATAAGTCAGCAAATGCACCCAGAATTTTCGTACGAACATTTATTCCAAAATCTATTAGTCTATGTCCAGCTTAAACTGGCCTTAAACCTCAGACATGAACGCTGAACAAAGCACATCCTTCTAGGCTGTGTACTCATCTCTATCCAAAGCACCAAGAATGATTTCTCTCTGCTGCCTGGTTCTTCTGTTAAGTACATGAGTTACTTTTGACAGATTTTCCTTAACACCAGGAGAAAAAAGGTGTTAGGGGAGGAGAGCTCCAGCACACAGCTTGTGATTGACAGCCACAGATGTGCTTGTTCTCTGTGTAGTGCAGTGTTTCTCAACTCCAGTCCTCATGGACCCCCAACAGGTCATGTTTTCAGGATTTCCATTATTTTGCACAGGTGATTTGATCAGTTTCACTGCCTTAGTAATTACCACAGCTGTTTCATCTGAGGGAAATCCTGAAAACATGACCTGTTGGGGGTCCATGAGGACTGGAGTTGAGAAACACTGGTGTAGTGTGAGGAGGGGAGGGGGTGTTTCCTCTCCTCCAATCGGGCTCAGAGCTATTCTCCCTTAGATGTGAGGTATGTGAACTCAGATCCCCACCCCGTGCTTTGTGCTGCTGAGACGCTGACAAATCCTGTACGTTGTAGAAGGCTGTACAGGACAGATGGCTGCAGATAAACGTACAATTTATGTAGGAGGATTTGTTTCATCTCTGTGTATCACCTAAGGCTAGTCATTTTACAGGTTATATATAAGGGTTTTCAACCAATTTAAAGATAATAAATGATTAAAATTGATCTATCTAAATATTGTATGGAATAAAATCTCTCTCTGCTTTCTGTGGAACATTAGTCTCTATTTATTAAAAATATGCAATCAATTTTATCTTTCTGCAAGTCTTTTAACACTTTGGTAAAACTCACTTAAAACACGGGACAAAACTAAGCAAATTAACAACCTCTTATAGAATAAACAAAATGTTACACATAAAAAAGGAATAGCACACAGCCAGGAAAATCCAAACTTTCTGCTTTAGTTTTAGCACTGGTTCACACTGTATCCAACTTTGAATTTCAAGTGAAGGTGCACGATTTTAAAGTTGCATGTCAGTGCACCTTGGCAGACATCTGTGCGACTTCATGCACAGATGTCTATGCAAGACGCACCTGAAATCGCAAAAATAGTGTAGAAGCTACTTTTAAAATTGACAGAGAAAATGAGGTTTGCTTACTGTTAAACAAAAAAAAATGGCTGGGGGCAAAGACAAGGAAAGACCTACAGTTATCTAAGCCTTCCCTGCTACTTTCAGAGGATTTCTGCATCAGGAAACTGGCTTGTTCAGCAAGCAGATATCCCCGGGTTCTATGGGGCCCACAGGATCTGAAACACACCTTGGTGCATGGATTGCTCTCTCATGCCAAAATGCAACCACTTAAGAAAAAAATGGCCTCCAGGAGCTTGCATTTTGTTCAAATTAGCTGGCAAACTACTACTTTTTCCTTGATTTTGCCCAACAGTGTTTAGTTCAGGGAGCTGGCCAGAAACGTGTTCTGCTATGTGGGAGAAACCACATGTTCTGAAATTTCAGAATGCAGCCCTGGAGATGAGCTTTCTCCCATTACAGGATCTCTCTAAAGGTGTGAAGAAAAGCCCCCACCAGCCCCAGGATTTAATGACTGATTAATCATGTCAGCAACTACCAGATCCTCAGGGGCAGAAAGGTTAGTCTGTCCAGAAACAAGGCAGGCAATATGAGAAGGAAAGACTAAGAGGACGGGAGGAGATTGAATAAGGGGGGCTGCCTCAGATAGGGTGCCCCACAACACAACTGCAAAAGCAATAATTCTTGTGCCAGACCTCCTGTGTAATTCTAAACTGGTAACCTGTCAAGGCTTGTAAAGCATCACCTATGGAGATTTTTTTAGGTACCATATTTTAGCGCCATACCAAAGTCGTACGTAATTTTCATTTCCAATAATTTTTATTGTTTTTAAGAAAAGTATACAAAACATTGCAGAGTTGTCACAAGGTCAGTATTTTCTTACAAAAGAGGAATGAGTCATGTAGAGAAAAGAAGGGAGAGGGAGAGAATGCAGGACACATTTTCTGGCAATGAATGTGTTCAATAACATTCGATTCAACCAGAAAAATCACAATTATCAATTGAACAAATGATTTCTAGATCAATGCGAAAACAAAATAACTATAAATAAAATGGGACCATACCA